AGGTTTACAGTCGAACAACAACACCGCAGAACACCCACGTGAATCGACGTTCCTTATTCCTGGCCTACGTCCTCGCTTCTTCTTCCTCCGATCCTTTACACCGAGGATCGTCGAACTTACAATTCGTTCTGGGTCCGCCTAATGTATTCCAAAGAAAAAAAAATAAAAACGTTTTGTAAAAAAATGTGACAAAGTTGCAATTGAACACCTCCCAGGGTAGAAAAGGAGAAGATGAGGCACGTGGAGGTTTCGCGTACGCTCCTGGGAACTGTTGTCGGAAACGATGTTCCAGCTGCGCATGAGAAGGGCGAAACGCACGCGCTCTTATGTTCCGTTTACGCTTACACCTTATTTTTCGATTGTTTTCATTTCGACGATTTGGAATGGCGATGCACGACTGCAACCAGGAGGCCCGGGGACAGCCAGAGAGAAAGAGGAACCGAGAGTGTGTATAAGCCGATACACACTGCGAGAGCACGAGAGCACGAGAGTCTCTCGCGATTCCTGCCTTTTCTATTTCCATCGCGAGCCGCTTCGTCCCTACGCATAGTCGAATTGATCGAAATATCAGGTAACTGTAAAATATGAGGAGAGGGACTTTGAAGAATCCCCTAGTCGAGAGAGAATCGATGTCACGGTCCATGGCGAGGCATTGCGCGTGATCGAGGCACGCGGTGAGATTAGGGTTGCCTCGTCGGTTGTCGAAGAAAGAGAGTGTAGTTTGTTGACACCTGGTTCACAGAGGCACTACGATCATGCTGTCGGGCATAGCGGCGTTCTGGTTTGCGGCGGCAACGGCCTTCGCGAGCGCCGAGAGCATCCTAATGACCGAGGTGTTCGTCATTCCGGTCAGGCCGGAGACTTTTGAGTGGAGCGGCGGCGACGGTAAGGAGGAAAAACAGCTACGCGGCGAACAATGACACCGATCATTTGCATCGCGGTTCTTCTCGTGCTCGCATTTGCATCGGAGCAATGATATACGGTTACGGGGAGCGGCGGCAGCAAGTAGGATGAACGAACGTACAGAAATAACCGGGGCGAAAGAAAGGCTGAACGAACGAGCGTGCACTTTAGTCGTCGCCCACTACACCACCTCGATTCACACCGTCTCGAATTAAACGTATGCCTCCGCTGCGCGTCATTCGTGCCATGTCTCGAACGGCAAGTTGTTGTCACGCGTGCGACGTCATTCGAGAGTATCGTGAACGAGGCGCGCGAAATTTCTCCCGTTACTATCGAATTATTCAGAGGTAGCCCGAACCGCGACCTAATCGAGTTACGGTGATTCCTCCTTTTAGCGAGATCCGACCAATTCTCCTATCAGCCCTCGTTGCTCAACGCGCCCGACCTTCCGTCCTGGATTCATTACACGTACAGCAAGAGGGATCATCGTGGCTTTCTGTACGGCGTGGCGCCGAAGGATCAGAAGTACTTTCAGGTGAACGTTCGATAGACACTAGAGCGTGAGATGTGTTGGCAAAGATGACCGGTATTCGATTTCAGCTGGAGATCGTGGGTCTCGACAAGCACACGTACGAGACCAGATACAAGGTCCTGGACATGATCGTCCTCGAGAAGGAGAATCTGACCAAGTACGAAGTTCACCTCAAGATCGATAATCTAAACGTGGAGGATATGTTCGACCGTAACCGCACCGAGGAACTTCTCGATATATTTAGGTTTGTCGATAACGTCGAAGGAGAGAGGCTATCCTCGCTACAGATTCTCACCGTCTTTATTTCCATTCGCAGGAAGAAACTGTGGAAAGACGCGATAGACTTGTACGTCACTTTTCTCGCGTCCGCTATCGAGCTTGGTGCTCGTCTGCCTCTGAAACCTAGCGAGGGAGAAGGGTGAGTGGCGAAAAAAGGACATCTTTCAAATCGATAATTCCCACTTGCTATATATTGCTGCGACGTTAAACGCCATCGGGATGGACGAGTAACAGGTTGCACGTTACGCTTCGTCTGAGAGCGAGACACGCGTCGTTAGAGATAGCCATCTATGGAAGTTATTACGCAACGGCTTTAAATCACAGCCCGTGCTTCCGATGGATCTTTCATTGTTGCGGCATCGTTCTCTTTTCTCGAAAATGTTCCTCGTTACCGAGAAGAAATCCATTCGAGCGTGATGTCCGGAGAATTGTGGTTTCGTGGAAAGCTTACCGTGTGAATCGCAGCGTAGATTTCCGGGGCATGTGCCGTAGTGATTAATACTCCTGTTCACCGATGATTTCCGCGAATTTTGCGCGTCGCTGTTTTATCGACACGTAAAGGATGAATCGTCCGATGCACTATCACTGGGACGATTCACCGGTGAGTAACGGTGTCGTTACTCGCGCCTCCGTCAAATCAGAATTTATTTCTGTGCGGCTGATTCGAAATCGTTCTTCAAGTTTCCCACGAACGTCGGTACGCCTCGATCCCTCTCCGGGAAGAATACTCGCGAAACGTAGGTTCGATCATGATCGGCGAGAATTACGCGTCTGCAACAATAGCACGCTTCGATTTGAGCGTGTACAGAACGGAGGAGGCTACGAAACGACGTAGATTAGACGCGTGAGCTTAATGTTGTATAAGTCTGGCTCGTGGACGTGTATAAGTAGATTGGTAACGTAAGTGCGACATTGTCAGCGCGCTCGTCCGAGTTAACCTACTGAATGGTTTCCGGCTGGCCTGCTGCTCTCCTCTATCTCGTATTCTGAACCTTAGACGTCACACACCCCCGCCCCGCCTCGTTGCCGCCGCCGCCGCCGCCGCGGCAATGCACCTCGGTGAAAGTTTGTCATTGACATCCTTCCAGAATCCACGTAAAAGGATATACATATAGCGCGATATTTCGCGCAAAGTGTACCCGTGCATGCAATTAGATCGCGTATTTTTCCCAAATACAACCGACCGTTCCCCGCATATACGTATAAGTACAGTTTCCGATCGGCTAAATGGTGAAAGACTTCGCGGTGAGGGCAAGTCGAAAATGCACTTTGATTCGCGCGAATATGGACCAGTTGTCGTGAAAGGAACACGTGCAGTCTAGCACACCGCGTTGCGATTCTAAACACACGGAAACACAATGCGAGTGTTTGCCATGTAAATTATGCGCGTCGCGCATAATCGACGATCGTCAACGTCTACGACGTTCCACCTTCCATTTGCATTTCACGATCGTTTCCGATTACGTCGAAATTTTCGAGGGGATACATATGATCCCCTCCAAGAGTATACATATATCGCACGTACGACGTGACGAGTGTCGTCGAGCCGACAAGCCATCGCACTAGAGATGGCTAGATTTCGTAGTTTCACCCAAACGATCGGAGAATGTCTCTGCTTCTCTGACGCACCGATGATGCGCGAAAGAACGGTTTCTTGCCATTCTTACAAAGGTGTCTGCGTAAACGGGGGAAAAAAGCCGACTTTGGTTTTCGCCGAGTGTGAATTACCGCGAAGCATGCGTCGCGACGTCTCGCGGGGAGCTGACGGAAATTACGTCTGGGGACACACGGGACTCTCCCCGACTTTCCATCGAGATAATAGGAAGCTACGCGTGAGCAGGAAAGTGGTGACGCAACTAGGAAAGGTAGTTGGATTCACATACGTGCCGCGTTGCACGTAAGCTCGCCATGCTGGTGTCCCAAATCCTTTATCCTCGAAAATTCTACATTCTTCTTTTCACCGAGCACGCCTTGCATAGATTTCTTTCCTCGTGACAGAGTGGTCATAAGGCTGGGCAGTTCGATGCCGTTCTCTCAAGAGCTGAACGAACTGCAGGAAGAGGTCAAGCCTCTATGGAAATTGCCGTCGTGTCCGCGAGACTTCAAGCGCACCAGCGTCGAGAGGCTCTTCAGGGAGGCGGAATTCACGCTGGATTGGTGCTCCTTTAGACTGGTGAGTTTTCTTTCGATCGACACGTGACTCGTGAGGAATTGACACGTGGAGATCACAGGTCGAGCAGGAGCAGCAGAGCCTGCAACAGGAGAGCGCCAGACGGGGAACCAGTATGAACGTGCTGGGTTTACCGGCTTCAGGAATTTCCGAGCACACGGAGTGGCGATGGGCCAGGACCAGCAAAGCGGGCATTCCCACCAGGAGTTACTTCCAAGAAATCGCCACCACGATCTTCGTGCCGACGATACTGCTCCTTGTATTGGCTGCGTTGCTGAGCACCGTGCTGTGTCTCAATCACGAGAAAATGTCAGTATTTCCTTTTCTATCCAACTAACCCTAAAGTTTCAACATTACGAATTTATTCGAAAGTCGATGCTCTTTGAGAGTGCTCTTGAGATGCTCGAGAGTCGAGGGAACCGGCGTGCATCGAACAACGACGACCGAAATATTTGTCATTCTACACGAAGCACGTGCTCGAGGAATGAATTCCAACCGTATAGCAGTGCAAGCAACGAGCACAAGTGGTAGGGGCGCTAACAGCAGATAGAGGGGGATACTACTACGACTGGTTTCATTCATAAACAGCCGCGATATCTGGTCAAGTAGTGACGTGCCGGACACGGTACGATCGAAAATACGATTACGGCCAATCGTGCGCTGGTTAAACGTGTAATACACGGTTCTCCTTCCTAAATAATCTTCTCGATAACGGGCCGTTAAATCGGTCGTGAAGGTCGATAGGCAAATTTTTCGTACCGCCAGTGGTCACACTTGGACGATCCTCCGGAAGAATTGTCCCGCTGTGAGAAACGTGTCTGTGCCGGTTTATTTTCCAAAGTTTCGACGACTAAAAGTTACCGTACGCGGTGTGAAAGGTCTCTAACGGAAACTACGCGCGCGATAAATAATGCTCGTAAACAGAAATAAATAAGCAATTTTTCCCTGAACCGTGCACGTGTGTACTAGAGACGGGTATTAATAGAAAGAGGTTCAGTACATCGCGACCCGTGTATACCATGGCATACGTCGATTAATATACTTGGTTGGTTGGTTCCAGCCGACTCCCGTTCGCCGCGTCTAATCGGTATGCAACACGCAGCATCATCCTTACAAAAGCGGTCTACTTCTTCGCCTTTCTTTCCGATGTATCTCGAATCGATTGAAAGCTAACCTCTAACGAGCGAATCGCGTGTTTAATAACAGAAAGATGTGTCCGACGGGTAAGTGACCGTACCATAGCGAGATCGTTCCTCAGGATCAACGATTACTTGGCCTATCTACGTCCGTGACGCAACTCGGTCCTATCAACCAGGAAATCCTCGACTCGATACTTGCTAATTAGTCTGGCGGCCGGCGCTAATAGATCAAGAACGTTTCCGTGCCAAATTGAACGCGTTAATGGGCGGAATCTAACGCGATTAAATACAAAGACACGGATCTGACAGCGGCTATTTATAAGCGGATGACCCTGATGATCGCGTCACCGATTATTCGCGCATCTTGCTGCAATTGCTCTCACTCTACCTATGACCTTTTCTTTAGCTGAATTCAGGCTCGGTGAAATTCGACTTATACATATGAAATACGCATTTACCGCGCCTTTTATCACTCGTACGCTTCGATGACCGAAGAAAAGATAAACTGGACGTGTTAACGATTAAACAACGCGTCGTTAGTGACCCGTCGTCGTTGGAAATTTTTTTTTTTACGTTCAATTTGTAACGTAGTTACATAGCCGATCGCTGTCACCGTTTGCAATTACCCGCATCGTTGGGGGAAAAAAAAGAAGGCAATTACGTTCAGGGAATCGGCCGTAACGTAGCCTGTAAACGTGGCTGATTTTCTTGGAAACGGAACACCTAACGACCGGTACTTTTCCTTTAAACGCGTGGAACACGGATATCGGGATTGTCCGTTTTCTATCTCGAGAAGCGGGGCCGTCCGGCCGATGGTATTTCCGTCTATTTTATTTGCCGGTGAGAACGTTGAAAATCGACATGCCCCCCCACCGGCTCTGTACAACGCGTAACGGTATCGTGAACTTTGAGCACGCCAAGAAAATGCACCTCGATCGAGCTACTTCGGCTCTCGGGAGACACTACTATCCACCGAAGATTCAGATAGAAAAAAACGTGGTCTGGTTCGAACGTCACAAGTTTGTCGCGATACGTTAATCGCGCGTAATTGCTACGAAACGTCCAAGATACGTTATTGATATTCAAGGGTGTCGTCGCTCGTGATCTACGTACGCGATCAAGGTAATTCTGATCAGACTGCGAGAAAATGCGGGTTACATATACGAAAACAGGAATGGGATATGCACGTCATCGCCGATGAGAAAAAATCTATCAAGAATGCGCGGAATTTGCTTAAACAAACACGCTTGATCGATTCGTTTCTTTTTTCATCTCGATCGTATGCACTCCTACGATCGTGCAACACAGATACGATATATGTACGTTTGTTTCCTTTCTCGTAGGAACGACCCGGAATCCGAAGAGTATTTCTACCAATTGTTTAATATTTTTCTCGACAGAAAGGTAGCCAGGTACTACATATTACATACTCTCAATTTGCGAACGTTCGTTGATACTAATACATCGTGAGATGTTGTCTGATCTAATAGCAAATATAACCGAGTGTAGTTTAACCACGATTTCCACTAACCGTTTCAAACAACTTGATTAAACGTTTACTTGAACGTAAGAACGTAATACGAAGGCCCGTTAAACAGCCGTTTAGTCGTCGTCGAATGAAACATTCCTTCTGATTCGTTTCGCAGCGAAAAAAGGGAAACCACGTCGGGAGAAGGAGTGAGCAATAATAACATACAAATGGTGCAGTACGCAGCTATCGAAAGGGGCACGTTGAAATCTCTCTCGGCTCAGCCTTCGAGTCCCAACGATTCCTTGTTACGAAGTCCCAGGTACTTTTTCTTACCTCCAAATCAACGATGCATCTTCTAGTTTCTTTCGAGATAGTTTCTTTGTGCTTTTCTTTTCTTTTTCTTTCTTTTTTTTTTTTTAGGATTTCCGACGAACGTTGCAATCCATACATTCGACCGAACCCACCACCGTACGCAGGACCGAGCAACCTGTAAGTTGTAAAGGTTCGTTTTTAAATTCTATCTGTGCTAATTTACAATACTCGCAATTCGTTTCTTAGGGCTGGCATTAGGGCTGATTTCTGACTACACGAGGAGCCAGCAAAGACGTGGTTTTGCTGAACTAATAGGCTTTATTGTCGCACACTGTAAAAGAAATCGCAAAATCATCGTAACTGGCTCCGCATTGTCTATTGCTTCGTAATCTGCCGTCGATAAGGACTTGAGATAATTGCTAATTAATATTTTGTGAATTTTCTTATGATCGTTACGTTGCATGAAATTGCGGTTAGAAAAAACATCCGTTCAACGGGTACGAAAAGATCTCACGAACGGTATAGCGAATTAGCATGTAAAACTTGTTATCGTGTATATATTATTTAATATTTAAATTTCCAGGTTCCGCTAGATTCTAAGCTGATAATTTTAAGTGTAATTGTACTATGCAATGTTATTTAATAAAACCTCGTTTTATAGTCACAAGAATCGTTTTATTGCACACAAATGTCCCGTATTTCTATTTTTAAATTCATCTAGAAGATGTATGTCGATGTGTTTTCAATTCATTTCTACGACGAAGAAATTTGAAAATTATCGTCCTGACGTTTGTTCGTCAACCTAACCTTTCTATTAATCGCGCGTGCGCGATACCAAACCATGCCTCGATCCTGATTTTTTAACAGTCGCTCTGTCAAGAAGTCTCGAAAGTGTATTAGGGCACGAGTTTTTGACACCGGGTAATTCATTTCTGCGGAAAAATTAATACGCCAAGTGGAATTAGCGTAGCAGTGATTCTTGTGATTTTTTCGAGCTATGGCAGGCATCGTGCCATTGTCTGGTAGATCTGGTAGAAAACAATGGACACTACATGGTAACACAGCAATTTCACTTTCAACTTTTCCACCAACATTTATAGTTTCCATTTCATTCGCCAATCAATTCTACTGCACGTCAATTTTAATTGAATTACGATACCCGAGAAACGGTACGCGAACAATTCGTACGATTTTGTAAAAAGTTTTGCACAGTAGGAGAATGATGTCGGTTAAATGTTTTCCTCTCTTACGAACATAAATATTTGACAGTTGACAAGTCGACGTAAACAACGATTAATAATATATAGAACGATAAAGAAAAAATCTGTTATATGGAAACAAATGACTAACACGCGGTGATCGATGGCATGTCTTGTAAATAAGAAAAATATTTTGCTTCAATGATTAAAGAGTGTAAGAAATCGTTTGAAACTTCAAGATTGTATAATTTTAGATGGACCAAGGGGAACTCTTAGAAGATTGCGATCTCAGCTGGCTGAGGATGGTTGTCCAGAGTCCCAAGTAGTTTTAGCCAAACAACTGTTAGAAGAAAGATGTGGTAGCAATGCAAATTTTCATTTGTATCTCATTTAATACATAATAGTACACATTCTGTTATAATGTGTTGTATATGAATCGTACATTTAGATCTGGATGTTGATAAAGAAGAAAATGCAAAGTTGGGTGTATACTGGCTTACAAAAGCTTCGGAACAGGGTAACCTGGAGGCAACAGACATACTTAGGACATGCTTAGCCACAGGTCGTGGTATCACAGAACATAATTATTATGATGTAAAAAGCTGTCTTGACATGACTCAAGATGAGAAGTTAGCCAGAAGAGCAGCAAGGGAAATGTTTACCAGGTATATGGAATTAAATTGTACAACTTACTGAGATTATATTTTTCTATGCATGTCTATAGTTGATTTGGTATTGCACAGTCTGTCAAATGGTGAAGATTTCATTACAACAGAGCAGCTACAGAGACGCATGAGAGATTTAGCATCAAACTCCTATAGTGCTAGTTGTTCTCATTCCAATAATGCATCGCATAACAACTCTAGAAAGAACATAAATGACATTTCAACTGACAACTTCCCAAAGAATAGGCTTCCTGAAGATTCTATACCTAAGAAAGGTGGAGGAGAGAAAGAGAATGGTATCCATGGTGAGAAAATACTTGCTGCTTGTATTTCTATTTTATTAACAGATACTTATAGATGCGATTACTTTCCAGATTGGATGGATCATCAAGGAGAAAAGATTACAGAGGCAGCTCTGGTTTCTGCTGCTGCCAGTTATGCACGTGGTATGCTTCCAATAGTTTCACATGCTTTGTGTATGATAGATCCATCTCAAATGGCATTGGATACTATACCATTACTACAAAGGCCTCTTATTCATCCCCTCGCATCGTTGAAGCGTCTTTACGTTTGGTTAATAGAAACACTAGGTCAAAGGGGAATGTCAATTAAAAAGCTTCTTTTCACATCGAATATACATATACTGTTACTTCTTTTACTCTATTCGTTATTTGGCACAGAAAGCCTCATACTATTTGTACCAATGGCACTATACTATTTGTCTTTCGTCGTGATGGTTATCGCTACTTTTCAAATGTTACAACGAAAACGCGAGTTCAATAATTTTCGCGTTTGGTCTGGTTTGTTCCTCAGCTATTCGGGCGGTAATTTAAACCCCGAGGAAGCAGAATATCAATTCTGTTGTAACAATCTTAAACCGTATGGCCACTTTTTCCTTGCCTTACTTTTAAATCTAATGATCTATCCTATCATAGCTCATCAGTGGACACCGCAATCGGAATTCACCGTCATAGCGGTCATGTTAACTTTAGTGACTCTCTTGAATTTTATGTGGAAAGATTCGTCCAAAGTTCCCGACTTTTTAGCTCTCTTTAGTTTCGGTGTTCACGTTCTAGCAAAGTATCCATACGAAACAGATATCGTAGTTGCTCAAGGGTGGAGATTTCTAGATATAAGGGTTCCAACATTTGCCTCCTACGTTGTCGGCAATGGTATCGAATTTTGTTTGAATTTTCGTGCAGTTTTCTATCTCCTAATCCCGGCCGTGTTTGCAAAAATGGCTGCGAGGGATAATTGGCGGGGAACTTATCGAACTTTAATACCCCATTGCGTTACGTTAAGCTGGTGGCAAATAGCGATATTTAGTTCTCAAGGTGCAACATGGTACGGCCTAATTAGAGGTGCTCTCGCTTTAGTTGGTATGGTTCTCTTTTTACCACTCGCTGGATTAGCCTCTATTATTTTGCCAATAGTAGCTGCTGCTAAATATTTGTCGGAAAGTGATCTGGCTATGAGAATAGCTATAACTACTTTATTGGGGGGAATGCCCTTTCTTGCCTCTTGGTATTTAAGGAAAACTCGTATTGCCAAATTTAATTGGATCATCACCGTTATACAGGTAAATATGTCCATCGAAATATTAGATTCGTCAAACTTTTATATTTCATACGAAACTTTACAGCTGGTCATGGGTATTAGTGCTGGAATGTTCTTATCGTGGCCAATGATAATGGAATATAAACAGGAAACGGACACGTACGAAGGTGTTTTGACGCTATCGTGGGAACAATATCAAAATTACTGTCATCAGCCTGCATGGGAAGACTTATCGTCCAAGGCCCAGGTGCAAATTCAGTGTGCTGAATTGGAAGGAATATTTATTTCATGGGAAGGTTATATAACAAATATTAAGTTGAAATCGATCAAAAATAATATTGCAACGATATTTAACAAACTACCCGATAGTATCAGAGACGTAGTTAGTTGTATGTACGGTGAACCGTATTTAAACAATTGCAACTCGAGTGACGAATTAAGGCAGAAAAGTTGCAAGCAATTTGCCAAAATTCAGAAACGAAAGAATAAATGCCACTTTCCTAATTGGAATCAGTACGAGTTCGAGATCACGGTTAAAATGAAAAATGGCATGTGGGGAAATAACGCGGAAATTTTATTGATCGCAGATCACTCGTTCACCAATTTCAGCTTAAATACATATCAAGGGGATAAAATTTGGTTTTCCGGTACCCTTTTAAACAATGGTTTCGAAGACGAATCATTGCTCGGCGGGTTCGAGCCTCACATTGAACTGGAGGAAATTGGTTGTCTTGCTTGTCATTCTGTTCACTTAAAATCTTACAAACGATACAACTATCATATAACGTTCAGTTCGATTTTAAGTGACCTTTGTCTCGGTATAAAAACCGTTTTGAACTTTTTGTTGAATCCTATCGTAATGTTTAAATAGTCGCGTGCTACACAATTGTACAATCTACGAAATGTACAGTATCAAATGTTCGAAAGAATGTTAAGATAAAGCTGTTTGCAGTGAGATAAATTTCGATAATATATTGAACTTCCTTTCGAAATATTATTGAGAGATATCGACTGACAGATTTTATAAAGAGAGCAAGTGAATTCAGATGGAAAAAATACAAAAAAGATCAAATGCAGAGGAAAAAAAGAATTTATAGCGTTGTAGACTTTTTTAAGCTTCAGTATTGTTTCCTCTTCTTTCTTTTTTTCTTTTTACACGTATTCAGTATTTTTTTTTTTTTTTTTTTTGAGACTTTTAAAAAGTATATTTTGTAAGTACACTATCTACCTATAAGAGAGGAAAAAAAAAAAATCATATTTTGATGTTACCAACACCTCAGGCATTAGAATTTCATTAAAAACTCATCAAATATCTACGTCAAAGAGTACACTTATACACGTATATTTTAAGATCGACATATTTTCGCAAGTATTACTGCCAGTAATAGAGATAAATGCGCTTAATATTTTTCTATTCCGTTTTCGGAAAATCGAAAGTGGTGGAACCTTTTCGATTTTATTTTAACTCAATAGTAAAACATTACACACTTTTTGTAATGCTAAATTTTAACGAGAAACATTATTCGCATCTAAATAAACGAACTCTATTAACATTTAAGAACGATGTATGTACAACGAATGTGATACGTGTACCTACATTACTATATAATGTTTCGTTTCTTAGAATTCAACTAAAAAGACGTTCACATAGAGATCTGCGAAACTCGACGAGCTTTCAAAATTAATTCAGCTGTTGAAATATCTTTACTCGTGTAAATGTTATGTGAATATTATATGTATTTGAAGAAATAGTAAAGATATATACATGTATGACGTGTAGGAGTTAAAGGTTATTGTTAAATTGATGTTAAGTGTCTAGACTTTAAAAACATAAACAATTAAAAGAGTCTTATAACATCTGTCGAGAAAAAAATGACAGTTGGTCTATATGTCATATCAGGACAATAGTATATACATATATATTAAAAAAAAGAAAAATCGTAACAGAAACAAAAGACAAATATAGATGTACCTTGATGTT